TGCAGGCAGTTGGTGGAGGTGCATACGGGGGGAGTTCAGTAACTACACAAAGTCTGTGCTGGAGTCATCCAAAATTTTTGCAGTTGTTTTTATCAACGTCCCTTCTCATTGCATAGCCACAAAAATGCTACAACAAATTTTACAACAAAGGTTTTTACGAGGCTTCCCGTCAAGAGAGGAGGCGGTGGCAGGAGAGCAACATGACGCGGTAACATTTACACAGCCGAGCTTTCATTTTCTCTAAGACTGAAGGGCAAAAAAAGTGACATCTTGGCGTTGTGATGATTAGAGAACCCTGGGAGCGATATAAGCCATCCATCACAGTCATACTCGCCAGATGAAAAACAGTGTATGGACAGTCTGCTGCAGGGTGAGGAGCTGAAGCGTGCAGACCAGCGTCGTGGACAGTTATGAGGAAGCGTCTTCTCCTGCTGAGCACTGACAGAGGCGGCTTGTACGAGTCTGTGCCTTGAGGATGTTTGTGACACTATTTAGGATGCACATGGGATCCCAGTGAGTTATCACATTAAGGGCCCTTAAAGGCTGAGTCAGCTGACTGGCACTTTTTGTCAATAGAAAAAACAGTTGACTGACAACAGATATAGGAGTAGGAACAGGTGCTTTATGATAAAGGTGAATAGATCACATGTACTGACCCCTGTCCTGGTCCTGGTACTGTAGTGGAATTAATCAAAACTCTCATGAAAACAAAGATATAAGGACTTGTTGCTGATTCTTAAGACTTTTATTCCCAGTCAGAGATCAGAGGGGTCCCAAAATGTGTTTAGCTGAGTCTCAAATGTGACAAAGGGTTGGCCATGAAGATAACATGATGAGAGGAAACACTCAAAACAAGATAACAAAGACAAATCATGTAGAAATACTACCAGGGTCGGGAAGGCCTACAGACTAAAAAAGGGCAAAGTGACTCCCCCCGTCACTGAATAATGTAATCGGTAATATTGTTCATGAACACAGTATAGAAATGCCAAGTATGCCTACTGGATAATGAAAAATTGGAACACTAGTTCACAGTTTATAATTTTAAGCCTTACATAATATTCCTTTCATATCTCTATCTGGTAAAGTGTAGAAACTTACAATGACTTACTACTTACAACATTCTGGTATGTAATTTCTCACTTTAAAATATTCATGTAGTAACTTGTGATTTTGCTCTATAGTACTTTCTTTTGTAGCTACTCAACAGTGGGACAATCACATTTTTCCTCATATGATATGACTGTCAGTCTGAGCCTCCTGTTCAGAGTCTCTCCAGATAATGGGGAAAAGATTTATCTGCCAGTCACAGGTGCTGCTGCAGCAGTCGAAGCTGAAAAGAGTCAGCAGAATATGCATAAAACACACACACACACACACACACATCAGGATCACCATAACCAGCCCAGTGTTACTTGTGTTTACTACTTGTTTACCACAGAGAAGCATGAAGCCATGTAAGGCAATAATCCATACAGTTATCTTCCAAACGGCAAAGGCACTTTAGTCCCAAGGAGAGCGCACATGTCTGACTTTATCAATAAACAGGATTTTACTCTGCAGGGGATACCAGAGAGACAACATTACAGGAACACCACAGTGCCACCAGAATAAAGACAAAGAACAGCAAGGTGTGATTTTATGTGCTCCTTAACTGGCCCCATAAAACTTTTGAATACTACCCAGAGATTTACAGAGATGATCACTTTAACGCATACTGATAAAGCTAAGTGAGGGTAATGCTGGCGAAAGTAATACCTGTCTGCCGCTTCCATTGTTGTTGCACAAACTGGCATATGGTGTTGCATAAACGTTAGATGTGATGTCTAAATGTAAAAGGCCACGCTTTGGAATAAAAGACAGCAGCTTACATCGTCATGCACATATAGCTACATGACTGTACAGTCTGCAGAATCTGACATAGCCAGTCCTCCCACTCATCAAGCTCAGTTAGAAAAGTTCAGGATGTGTTCAGGCACTATACTTCGAAACACAATTACACTAGGGAGAACATATTCGTATTAAGTGGAAAGTCAACCAGAGATGTAGTTTCCACAGATGGGCCTTGCAGTTAAAGCTACAACTTCTCACTGTTTTCATTACGGATTAATTAACTGATTAATGGTGTAGTCTATGAAAAATGTCAGAAAACAAAAATGCCCATCTCAATTTCACAGGTGACATTTTAAAGTTGCTGGTTTTGGCTGACCGAATGTCCAAAGAAATTGAAATCAAAGTGATATAAAAAGAGAGAAAAGAAGTCCTCATATCTGAGTAACTGGAACCAGTGAATGTTTAGATCCGTTTGTACACATGTACACTTTAAGATGACCAAACGCCTACTGATCAACCTGTTACACACAATCACATTTTCTTTTAGGAGAGTGTCGACTCTGAGAGCAGTGCAGCTGGCCTCCCTTCTGAACGGTGAACCCTGGTCTCCGGAGACGGCAGGAGGCTCATCATCCAAATGTTAACAGTGTTGCCATTTGCTGTTTTGATTTTATAATACAGCTGGGTAAACAACTGTTTCTGCTCTCCATATTCCCCATTAACTATTACAGTAACAAGGCCAACAACTGAAACTCTTTAGTTTATTTTAAAGACATGTTACACAAAACATTATGCAGACTCAGTTTGTCTAACTCTACATACTTACACCCAACTATTTATTATTTACAGATTGGATATAAAATAACAACACACAACAAATCACCACATGCGCACCAGACAGATAAGGCCAAAGTGGGAATCAACAGTTTGATAGGCTGCCAACAACAAACATACAGAGGCTACAAACATCTCAGTTTGTCTGCATATATTGGAGAAACAAAAAGAAATATGATTCCTTGGGGGTTAAGTAGATAGTAAATAGTGCACTATTTCATAAACTGCAGAACAAATAAGTCACATTTTTGTGTTGTCCATTTTCACATGCTTTGTTTAAATGAGGGCTTTTCATACCAATGCCCCAGCAGCAGAGGGCCTGGTGTTTGAGTCCATTAACATGAATTACAGACTTTAAATATATACGTATGTATGTATGTATGTGTATATATAAATACATATATATGATACACCAGCAACTTTGTTGCTGATGTCAACAGGGATGGTTATAGAAATATCTCCATGGTGATATGATATATTCAGCAGGTATGTTCCTGACCCATTTTAATGGCCAGCTCAGCTCAGAATTCTAAATACCATGATGCATGAAGCAGCAAGTAGTTCATATATATGAAATCCTGAACCTGAGGGTGGGGAGCAGAAACATTAAGCACAATACACAATATTAAAGCCTTTTCTACCTCCTGTCTTTCATTTTCACTCTTTTTAATAAGAAGCCTTTGTAGTTGCTAACAGCACTCTACATCAAGATGCTATGCTGAGTGTGTGGGCCCTCTAATAGGTGTCTGTGTAATTGGCTGGTTGACAAACTGATCATTAACAGGCATGAGATGAAGGGCTCAGGGGAGGAGACGTCCATCCTCATTCTCCTTCTGTTACCATGTCACCGTGACAAACACATATTTAAGCAAACCAACCAAAACTGTGCACTCTAAGGAATACTACCTGTACACGAAAAGATCAGTGTGTACCCAGTTTCAGTCCTGCAGTTTATAACAAGCAACTATAAGTCAGATGTGTTGATGGACGATGGAATAAGGGGTGCCGAGGGGTCTTTGTGTTTCCCATTTCTTATTGAAATATAGGCTATATGTGTTCTACACAAATGTTTGTGGTGGGAAAAAGGATTTACTATCATTTTTATCCATTTATTATCGTATGTATTAGTCCATTATTAAATTCCTTGCCATGTAGACTTCAGGTGTTTCAGAGGAAGTTCTTCCAAGTGTCCCACAGTAAGTAAAGACATCAGGGTATCGATCTTCCTGTCAGAGAGACCCCATGTAGAGAGGCAATCCAGTACATAAGTTGAATAGTACATTACACGTATGTGACATCTATATGTAAGGATATGTGATTTGCTCGTAGCTCTGATTATAAAATAATTCTGGTAACTAGAGAGTCCTCTAAAATGTGGAGGTCTGGAAGTTTTTAGTTTTCTGGTGGAGTGCGTTTAAATATTCCACAATGTTTAAACATACTCCCCCAGAGAAAGAGAGAGTGACGTGCGGCAGTTGAGCCATGAAACAAAAACTTTAGTTTATCTTGAAGCTTAATGTAACTATAATTCTCTGGTTTATCAGTAAAGGGTATTAACTACACTGCAGACTGGAGTCTCTGCTAACAGTGACAAACTGAGGGGGTCTTATTTGAACGAGTCATCAACATTGGTTGTTTGCGCATCGGTAGACCTGCTTGTTTCCTTTCTGATATGGCTGTATCCTTACTGTGCTACATTTTTATAGTGAACACAATTATAAACACAACACTTTTGTTTTTGCCCCCATTCATCATGAGCTGAACTCAAAGATCTAAGACTTTCTCTGTATAACAAAAGGCCTATTTCTCGCAAAATATTGTTCACAAATCTGTCAAAAATGGATTATCTCGGCGGTCGTCTTATGTTCATGTGTTCACTCGCACGGTCTTCCCTCGGTTAAAAACAGAGAGAGGCGGGGCAAGTCGGTGTGTTTACCTGAGAGGTCTCTTGTGTGTCTGAGTGTGGGGAGAAAGTGCAAAGCATATTTAAAATTTATAATAATAATGTTCGTGGTGATTAAAAATTGGCAGTATTATGTGTGTGGGGGGGGGGGTTACAATCATGATGCCTGCTCAACGTCATGATGTGGTCCCACTACACTTGGATTAGGCACTAAAACTGTGTGAGAAGTATAGTGCTGAAAAGAATAACAGCCAACTATATGAGAGAGAGTTGTGTGCATTCCCCTGTAGAACAACAACGAAGAGTATGGCAATAACTAAATTATTGTCTAAAATAGCACAGCTTTCATATGTTCAAAGTGAGCCTGTGTGTGTGTGTGTGTGTGTGTGTGTGCCTGTGACAGCAAGTCAAAGATAGAATGAAGTGATACCTTCAGTCCTCCACACTCTGCTGCTGACCCCTGGTCCACTCCAGTGATGTATATACCCAAAGCATATTCTGCTCCCCCCCGGATCATCAGACCCAGAGACCGGCCGTCATCTAAAACCAAGTTGACCTGTTAAAGACAGACACAGAAACAGATAACAAAGGCAAAGCATGGTTAAATATCAAAAAATTGTGTGAACCAGACACTTATATATATCAACGTTTTGAAATTACATTTTTCAGTCTCAATTGTGTTTCTTGACAGGTTGCTAGATTTGCTGTGGTGTCGGGCTGTTCACACTGAAATGGAGATGTGAAACACAATAGACAGAATGAATAAATGACAGCTCCGCTTTGGATTTTCCAGCAGAAAATAAAGAGTTTCAGGTGCTACTTAGATGTGGTGACTCAGAGCTATTAATGAGAACAATCTGTTCTTATTGGAGAAATGACCGTTTGAATTGGTCAATCAGTTTGTTTACAAGGATCATACGCGTCACTACCCCTGATAAGCAGAGTGGACAATACCCTATGCTCTTTCAATTCAAATAATCCACCAAACGGAAATAACGACTACAAGGTATCTCTGCTACAGCAACCAATTAAACGTGCTGCTGCAGGGAGCTAATGATACCTGCAGGATATACACGACTGTGCCAAAATGACTCCAGTTTCTGCATTTATAAAAATGTCTAATGGTATTATTTCTGTACTGTATTTAGTCAGTCACTTCAGTCTTCCTAGTGTGTGGATTTTTATTATTAGAATAAATTATGTGGAGACAGGTAGACAACATACTGTATACATTTTAAATAAATAAAAAACTGTCTCAGGCTGCCATATACAGCAGGTGTATTGTTGGAATCAGTCAGTTTTTGCAGCAGAACACTCCCCAAAGCATCACACTGGCTCCGCCGGCTTGCCTTCTTCCCAACATGCATCCTGGTTCCATTTGTTCCCCAGGTAAGAGAAGCACCCAGCCAACCATGTGATGTAAAAGAAAACGTGACTCATCAGACCAGGCCACCTCCTTCCATTGCTCCTTGGTTCAGTTCTGATGCTCACATGCCCTTTGTAGGCGCTTTTGGCAGTAACTAGGTGTCACCATTGGCACCTGACTGGTCTGGGGCTACACAGCCCCATATGCAACAAACTGCGATGCACTGTGTTCTGAAACCTTTCTATCAGAACCAGCATCAATCTCAAAGTCGCTCAAATCCTTACACTTGCTAATTTTTCACATCAACTTTAAGGACACAATGTTTACTTATTTCCTAATATATCCCCCCACTGACAGGTGCCATGGTAACGAGATAATTCACTTTACCTTATTCACTTTACCTGTCCGTGGTCATAATGTTATGGCGGATTGGTGTATTGTCTTTTCTTGGTATCATTTGTTAGGTGGAACAGTGTCTTCATGTCAACGTGAAAGCTGCTAAATCTTTCAAAACACACTTTCATATTCCGTCTTAAAACATTAGCTATACTATAGACATATACATATAAACTGTATATTAAAGCAACACTATGTAAATATATTTTGCAATTTGGCACAAGTGCAAGTGCACTTATATACCACTGTAAATACTGACGGCTGTCCACGTGCATTTGTTATAATTACATTACTTATGATCAAAAAGTAGTGAGTCGAAAAAAACTTTGCTAATCCAGCCAAATATCAAGCAAGTGCAACAACACCAGACATCACAATCCAGTTAATATTACTCACTAGTCCAAGCCCAGCCTTTGGTTTCACGAGGCTGATATTTATATTTGTCTGGTCTCTCACCGAGAATACCGTAAAGCATTACGCTGCTCTCGTGATAGGTTTCAATGTATAGTGCTTCAATGTATAGTGCTATTCAAGGTGGGGGCCTGGAACAGCAACGACAGAGACGCCATTCTCCCTATTACAAGTCAGTGAACCATCAAAATTATTTTGAGGCTGTTATTATAAGATAAAATTACTATATAATGTTGCTTTAACCTTCCAGCTGCTGTCACTTACCTTGATTTATGAAAGCCTTTGAAAGACTTATGTGGGCCTATTTGTGGTGTGTTCCTGAGGCTACAGGGTTTGATAAATGATTCATTTGTCTGATAAATCTGCTTTATTCTAACCCACTGACAGAGATTGCGACAGATATAATCTGCTTTTTGTTTGGAGCGTCTGGGTCAATGCAGTTCAATGAAGCAATACATTCCTCAGTGCTATATTGACAGAGAAAGCAGTGTTTGACAAGTAGTTCTTCCTTCCACCAGTACGTATATTTGGATTTGACATGACAGTGACATAGCTGGAGGCAAGAAAAAACTAAAGGCGACTTCAGCTTGGATTTCTAGCTTCAATCTCTCTGTAGCAAGGGGGCAGGCTCTACATGCCTCTCTCTTCGCTTTTATAGCAAACTACGTTCCAACAGCAAAGATTTCATCCCAAAATATGAGTGCAGAGGTTACATTTTACAATGTTTTGGCTGGCTTGGATGTTCTTCTTTAGGCTGGGAGGATCGCGCTGACCATTGAGTGTGTATTGTTGTCACCTCCTGCTATGTTTTGCCCAATAAAGTAACAACCAATATTATAGGCTAGCAGGCTGAAGCGATGTTGGACTAATGTTGTAATACTGAGAGGGAGGGCCAACCACCAACTACTGTGGGTAATACACTAACTATGTATAAGTACCTCATACAATTCCACTTCAAAAAATCCAAACTAACCCTTTAATGTCAGAGCAAACATGCTGATGAGGGAAAATTTTTCAGTTCAGATGCTTTAACAGTTTAGCTTTAACACTTTCTCCGTTACCTCCCTCAGTTTTAAAGCAGCTTAAACTTAAGATTTTACCCTCTCTCAACTGCAGGAATACACATACTGTAACTGCAATGAAGCACTGAACGATACTTCTTAATGACATTAACAGGTGGTCAGGCCTACCCAATCTTAACATCACAAGTACAAAAAAATCCTTAATTTTATAAATAATCTAGGATTTACTCAACTCATCTATATCACAGTATTTACATTTGGAAAGCAAATAGATGACAGTGAAGTGTACACTGTCCAATGGGAGAAGTTCAGTGGAGGCTTAGCTGTGCCAAACTTTAAATTCTACATTTTCCTCCATCACAATGAGGCTCTTGATTACTTGGTTTGATCCTTATGTAGCTGCCTCTGCCAAGATTTAAATGAGGAATCAGGTGCACCCTGGCAACTACAAGATGACACATATGCAGAGATCTCTATTAAACATTGTCAGTTTCATCCCTCGTTTTTCTCCCCTCCTGTAGGTTTGGCATCTGGCACAGGAATCTTACTTTCATTCAGTGCATATGGCGCTGCACCCTTTCTTTTAATAACACCTGTCTGCTTATTGGAGGTAAGCCAGCCACCTTAGCTCAGTGGGAATATTGAGGCATTCATGTTCTCTGTGACATTTATGCAGGACATGGAGAATAGTTTTAATCACTAGATTCATCCTTCTTTTATTAGCAGCACATTGCAGCTCATAGTGTCCTGTGGTATTAGCAGTTTTCATGGAGTCACTTCAATATGCTCTTTCTCTCTAAAGGGAGTCCCAGCGGTCTGGCATCCCTGTTCTGTAAGCAATGGAATCTGAGTGGCATTCATAGAGCCTTTGTTTGGGATAGACAAGTGCATTTAATCACAGCAGCGATTCATGAATAAAATTGGTATGTCATAGTAGCCATGAGCAACACCAGTAACCACAGCGACAGTAGGTAACAGCGGTATGCAGTGTCTCTATTCACTAGTCAGTGTAACTTACACTGCACATTTCCAGCTAAACAAAGTCTTACTGTTGACCCTTTTTGCTCTGCTCCGCTCTCCTGCCATTTATCGGTCTTGCCATTTATCGGGTTGTGCATGCCCGCCAACAATTGCATGCAACTCGCGGTTCCTTGTGGGTCTATTCCAAGTACTGTTTAAAAAACGATATAATATTCTTTGTATTTCTTTAATATCAATTGTGATAAATGATTCAAACGTAACTGAGCATCCCTGTATTGCCAAAATGGCATGATCCTCATTTCATAACGCCTTTAATGCAGAGCACAGCTTTTTAATCACCTCTAAATCACAGAGCTGGAGGCAATTCCAATAAAAAAGTAGGTTGAAAATGTTCAATGACAACGAGAGTGAAAGTTTCAAGTAGTTCCCCTCCTCCAGCCCATCAAATGCTGATACAAATCAGACACGTAACTTTACCTGTTTTGCTACATATCTTTGAAATTGCCTAAATATCAGAAATGGAAAAAGTTTTTTTAAACTATCAACTAAACACTGGATTAATATTTTCTAAACATTATCTTCATGGCACTAACTACTGCCTGTTTTAATGGAGGTAAAGCTGTTAAGATTAATGTGTGGCTCTTAGCTTTTGAAAAAGTAAAAGTTTTAGTGCAATAAATCTCTTTAAACGGCTCTGACAGCTCCTTCCCTGCTGGTCATGAGGTGGTGACAAAGTGGAATTTTGTGGGACTGAAGGTCCAATTACTGTTATTGTTTAAGTTTTTAAGTTAAGTTATAAGTTTTAAATTTCTTTTACAGTGTCCATCATCTTTTGTCCATTATGAGTTTTACTATTCTAATTTACTTTTACTCTTCCAGACTGCAATAAAGGTACCAAGTCACAAACGTTGGAACCAGATGATGATATTATTACCTGATCGTATAAACTAAAACATTGCATTGTAAATATAACTGAAGCTTGATTCTGCAAACACATGACCTATTTGTTGTCTCAGAATTTGATACTTTAAAAAGTTTTTAAAAAGTCAGAGGGCAAAGGCTGATGGTAGCCCAGTGTTGGTGTGTTTATCCAGTCAGGCGTTAGGATGGTTAATGTTCATGTTCAAGCTGATTCATTCATGGCCTTGTCAACCCACAATGACTGAAGCAAAAGCTGTGGGAGGCCTTTGCCTTCCATTCACATTTATATAACTTTAAAAGTCATGAACAAAAAGATTCTCCTGCAGTTACAGAGTTAGAGTGGGAGTAGTTATACGATAGAGTGAAGATCAGTGTGCAAAGACAGCGCAGCTAAAAGGACTTGTTGATCTTCCTTAGCAGACTGAAAAAATGGTACTACACCAGGTTGAATGTAAACAGAACAGTCATAATGCGTAAAGCTGTGAAGGTCAGCTCACAGCATGACGCCTGTTTAGAGGAAGTTGGATATAGTTTTTAGCATATCTGTTTATTAATCAAACATTTTTAGATTTTGTGCTTACTTTAGCTAAGCTTAATTTAGCTAGCCTTTTTACATACTTCATGAATATTTGATTTTATATTTTTTAGCATTAACCTTCAGAGTTAGAAATGTAAGACATTATCAATGCAAGTAGATGTTTGTACTAGTAAATATTTTTTAGTAAACAGAAATTGTTAAAAGTGCCTAATGGATGTCAGGGACAACCAATGTTTTGAATGAATTAATGTCCTGGGCACCTATAAAATATTCAACACAATTTTGGGGACATGTTATTTAATATTTGAATATTTTACTTCTCCCCCTGATAGTATTATCCCTTAAAGGTACAATTGAGATTTGTGAAAAAGAGTTGTCAATGGAAACAGTGCTCCTTTATTCCAGCATTACAGTGTTTTGGGTTTCCTCGTAATGCCTCACCTTCTTCTCGTCTCCCTCCTGCAGAAGCTGCATGTTGCTGCGTCGCTGGCTGTCAGTTCTTCTCAGGGTGGCGCTCCGATGCTCAGGCAGGTCAGGAGGAGGGGACACACTCCGACCCTGAGGGTCAACCCAGGTATAAACATGGTTGGTGACATAGCCACCTGGAATCCGCCCGACTGAACGCACAGAGAGACAAAGCTTTTTACTGCCCTTCAGGACCTGAGGGGGAGATGAGAGGAGAGGAGAGGAGAGGAGTGAATTCAGGCCTCATTATAAACACGTCAAAAATGTCTATTTCTTCGAACATACATGAGTGCAAGTTCAACTATAAACCCACAAATCATTAATTACACCATAGATTACACCCACATGAATACATGCATGGCTACAAACATAAGGCTGTAGCTGTGAATATTAAAGCGAGAAACAACACTACATTTTGAAGACATTTAAAGATTACAGAGAAGAAACCAATTTTTGCAGTCCTCCACCACCCAAAAAAACCTAAATGACCAAACACCCCCACATACACACAAATGCACACAACCAACATCTCTAACATTTCTACTGAAAATTGCTGTTGGCTGTGCCTCATTGCCTTCTGATAGCTTGCTGTGTGTGCAGTCCCTCTGTAGATCAATGTATTCCCATGTGCCCGGTGGTCTGCAGGAATCAGACCCAATGGATTTGAAGGTCTTAATGATCAAACTTCTGCACCACAAACAGGACCCCTGCTTTCAGACTGATAATTATCACAAACACTGCTGATTTTAAAACTGATATAACTTAAATTAGGACCATGTGCTCACTTCATGAGTTAGGATTTTTGAACAGAATGGAAAGGTCTCTATATGAAAGGGTTTCATATATTTAGCTATCATCAATATCATTAATCAGCTGCTTATATCAGCAATGACATTCCTTTGGTCGTTACCTAAATGAGCAACAGAACCAATACCAGCTGGGTCATTTAAAGGTTTAGAGCTCTCTTTTCACCACCCAACTGCAACCAAAAGTCAACTTCAACATCCTTTGTATAATCGTGCAAAGCACATCTGACGTCATAGTCATAGTCATCTGCATGCTCTTTTGTCTGAATCGCAATCTGGATTATATCCCTCAGGAATCCAAAAAATGCTGCTACAAATAACAGTGTCCCTTCATTCTCTTCTTCGCTGACTACAAATCACGTTAAACCCTCCATTCGACTGTCTTCTTCATATAACAATTGTAAGGAACTACTAAATGCCTCTGTTGAAATGCCTATTAACAAATGTTGCAAGCAACAACTCAAATTATTACTTGTTAAGAGTGCTGTGGATAACAGCGGAGACCAGTCTCCTTTAATCACTGTGATCAACCTGAATCAATTTCACAGTCCTGATTTGTGCTGAGAAATAATAACTTTAATTCTGAGGCAACAAAGCCCTGTCAGCGCTGAAGATCATTGACTGCACCAAAATACCTGTCATCACTCCCCTCCCTCTTTATGGGCAGCATAAATGCAGAGGTGTAGATAAAACTATAAAACAGATAAGTTCAGCAGCAGCTACAGTGGGAGTAGCCTTTACTCACAGACAGAGAGGATAAAACTAAAAATATTTGCATACAAAAAGGCACACAAAACCACAAACAGTGTGAAGTCAAAAAGGAAAATTGCCTGTCTTTTTGATTTTATTATTGAGGCAAAATTTTGACACTGTTGATGTCAAACACTATCTATCTGAACCATGCACATCATCAGCCCATGACATGTGTCATGTGCCTCTGAGCCATCACCGGGGGGTCCTGGGAACTGAAACGGATCAGGATTGCACTGTCTGTGGGCTAAACACCGCAAAAAAGGAAACTGATTTCAATCAACACTTGATTTTCTGTTAGTACAAACCAGTAAAGTATGTTGATTTAATGTATGCTAGCAAAACTGACTAATGTTATGGAACTGGGAATGGCTAATAATTATGTTGAGATTAGTTATTATCAAATAGGCATTTAATTCACATCACTGGGGTGTTTTATTTGGTAATTGGTTGCTACATGCACACTGGTTTCTCTCTAAGACACACAGTTCAATACAAGCTTTATCACGGTGCAAGCAGGTCTGAGTTATGTAACTGTATTTAGATGAAATGGAGGAGGAAGGCAAAATGAGCAGTGTATAGATGTAATGAGAATCAGGAGTGCATGGAGTTAGGGATACACAAGGAGAAAAGGAAAGATGGAGGGGAATGGAGGTGATGGAGGGTGGGCAGTAGGTTTAACAGGCGGCTCCATCCTGTGAATAAGAAACACTGGCAATCGACTAAGCATCCGTGGTACAGTGGTCCTAATGCATGGTCTCTGGAGGAAAGTGCTGATTGTGACACTGGGCTGATGTAGGTCGACGTTGCTTGCAAGCAGAACAAACAGCACTTGTTAAAAACAAAAGAGGGAATATATAGCAGAGCATAATGGGAAATTTCAAAGGCAGGTAAACTGCTTTCAGATGATGCCGCAGAAAAAAAAAACATAGGCTCTCATGAGTCCAGGGCAATCCATTTTATACCCAAAAGCTGACTGCACAAAGCCCGGCTGTAGAAGCCATCCAATTTCATCACTTAGAAATGCATGGTCATATACTCTAGGAGGTAAAAAGGTACCTGCTGTCAGGAAAATGAGTAAGAAATGACTTATGAGACATGAGGGATTAAACCATAAATCCTGGTTATGTAAAGAGTCTCTATTAAATGGCCCCAATGGTACTGCAAACTCTATTTCAATTGGAGTAGCTAACTCTACAAAATTGATAGGTGCTCATATGTATATGTGTATGTATAGCAACTACACAACTATTTGAATATCAGTATGAGTGTTGAAAGTAGTATGATAATTATCGCAATATAATTTTCCTCAATATCAATATAATAAATGTTCAATATATTGTCAATAAATATTTGGTTTAATTAATTTGAATCACAAACAAATTAGCACTTATATTTTCTATTAAAGATTTACTAATCATATTTGTTACATTGTTTTTTATCATAATAGTTTTGAATGTTCTACCTCAGATTTGTTATGTGATCCACTGTTTGGCATCAAGTGTTTGTCCCATTCTGACCATAAAGAAAAGTTGAACCACATAATTAACCATCTGATTTCTTCAATTTTCAGTCAGAAAGTTCAGCAAAAATCAGCCTTTAAACTTGAAAGAAATAACGATTTGACATTTTTCGTGATAATTATCGACATCGAATGATATGAAATGTTTTTATTGTGATAACATTTTTGGCCATATCGCCCCGGCCCTAGTTGGAAGGGGATGATCAAATAAAGGTCTTCAAATCAGTGATATGAAGGTAGCCTATAAGGTAGCCCTAAGCAGTGGACCAATGAAGCTGTACAGAACCTCCAGGTGTGCTTGGACTGCACTGACTGGGATGTTTTCAGGACTGCTACCAACAGTCTAGATGAGTATACAGAGGCTGTGACATCCTACATCAGCTTCTGTGAAGACAGCTGCATTCCAACATGGACCAGGGTGAGTTACAACAATGACAAACACTGGTTCACAACTAAGCTCATACAGCTGAGGTTGGAAAAGGAAGGTGTGAGAGTGGAGACCGGGCCAGGTTTAAGGAGTCAAAGTACAAGTTTAGCAAGGCGGTGCGAGATGCTAAACAGCTGTACGCATGGAGGATTACAACACCAGTTCTCAAATAATGACTCTGCTTCTGTCTGGAGAGGCTTCAGACAGATCAACAGCTACAAACCTAAATCCCCCCAATCCATGAACTACTCACGCCTTGCCAACGAGTTGAACCAGTTTTACTGTCGCTTTGAAAGACAATGTACTATTCAGGAGGCAGAAACCTCGCAAAGCAGCTGGGCTGGATTCTGTCTCCACATCCACCCTGAAGCACTGCGCCAATCAGCTGTCTCCGGTTTTCACAGACATTTTTAACACCTCACTGAAGACATGCCATGTGCCAGCCTGCTTCAAGGTCTCCACCATCATCCCTGTCCCCAAGAAACCAAGGACCACTGGACTAAACGACAGACCCGTCACCCTGACATCTGTGGTTATGAAGTCCTTTGAGCGCCATGTGTTGTCCCACCTGAAATCCATCACAGACCTCCACTCCTGGACCCCCTGCAGTTTGCCTACAAAGCCAACAGGTCTGTAGATGATGCAGTAAACATGGCCCTTCACTACATCCTCCAGCACCTGGACGCCCCAGGAACCTACGCCAGGATCCTGTTTGTGGACTTCAGCTCTGTTTTCAACACCATCATACCGGCCCTGCTTCAGGACAAGCTCTCTCAGATGAACGTGCCTGACTTCACCTGCAGGTGGATCACTGACTTCCTGACGGACAGGAAGCAGAACGTTAAGCTGGGAAAACATCTCTCTGACTCCAGGACCATCAGCACCAGTTTCCCTCAGGGCTGCGTTCTTTCCCCCCTTCTCTTCTCCCTGTACACCAACAGTTGCACCTCCAGTCACCAGTCTGTCAAGCTCCTGAAGTTTGCGGATGACACCATCCTCATTGGGCTCATCTCTGGTGGGGATGAATCCGCCTACAGGTGGGAGATCGACCATCTGGTGACCTGGTGCAGCCAGAACAGTCTGGAGCTCAACGCTCTGAAGACTGTGGAGATGGTCGCAGACTTCAGAAAGAGCACAGCCCCACCCTCCCCCATCATCCTGTGTGACTCCTCAGTCACCACTGTGGACTCCTTCCACTTCCTGGGCACCAGCATCTCCCAGGACCTCAAGTGGGAACTGAGCATCACCTCCTTCACTAAGAAGGCCCAGCAGAGGATGTACTTCCTGCGGCAGCTGAAGAAGTTCAGCGTGCCAAAGACAATGATGGTGCACTTCTACACTGCCATCATTGAGTCCATCCTCACCTCCTCCATCACCATCTGGTACGCTGGTGCCACTGCCAGGGACAAGGCCAGGCTGCAGCGTATCATTCGCTCTGCAGAGAAGGTGATTGGCTGCAATCTTCCTTCTCTTCTGGACCTGTACGCCTCCAGGACTCTGAGGCGTGCAGGAAAGATTGCAGCTGACCCCTCCCACCCTGGACACAAACTGTTTCAGACTCTCCCCTCTGGCAGGAGGCTGCGGTCCATCAGGACCAAAACCTCTCGCCACAAGAACAGTTTCTTTCCGATGCCAGTGGGCTTCCTCAACAAGGCCCGGGTCCCCACTGTCAGTGACTCTCATGCCCCCC